TCCAGTAACATTGTTGCTCATTATAAGTAGTTACATTTGTGCATTGTATTTCTTCATCTGGCAAGGAAATATTTACTTATACCATTATATGAAATGTATCTTTCATAAATAAATGTCATTTGTTTGTATTGTAAACTTTCCTATTATTGATGTTGCTGTCATCATAAATCTAATTGGTATTTTTAGTGTTATTTGGGTTTCCATTTTTTAGATCCATTTATTTCAATACTTGATACAAAGACAAGTAATCATAAATGTAGGAAATAGAGTTATCATTCCAAGCATTTCTGTTACTTGATAGGTGACCCTAGTAGCAATCAATGTCAATATATGGCTCTGTACATTTGGTGGAGATAGTCAAACATCAAACAGGATTTTCTTAATATACAACCAATTAGTTTCCCATTGCAGTATCTGAGTCTGTTAAGCATTCCTGAATGGATTGTTTCTTGCAACTAAAATTAGAAAAAGGAGATTATTTTTTAAAAAAAACCACAAGGAGCATGTGGAGAGATAGTATATGCTCTGTGATAATGAGATCCCGGTGTTTATTTTAGCCATTAGATATATTCCACTCTTTCTTATTAGCCAAATGATGATGACTGTACATGATATTAATGTAATTACATTGCTGCCATTAATTCATCAATTGATTATTTTTATCAGAGTCCAGAATAAATAGTTTCAAGTATGCTGGATGTCAAACTTCTGGAATAATTTCTATGTCAGTACATTGTGCAAGAACTAAAACTAATCAAAGCCTCCCCATCTATGTTGTCTTCTTCACCAAGCCATCCTTCTCTCTCACTTTTGTTTGATTTCTCATAATTTCACAATAAAAATCATATATTTTAACTACTGAGATATGGATTTTTCCACATATATAAAACATTCATAAGTTAGTGTCAATAAATACATGCTCAACAGGACAGAACTTAAATATTAGTAGAAGGAGACAAGAAGTTGAAGCTTTTTGTCTTGCACATATCAGGACTAGAACACCAGGTAATATCTTGAAATAAAAAGATACCATTTTATACAGCATGAGAAGAGGTGCTAATTGGCTGGGCCATATTTGGCATGGAGATGTAACAAGAATAGTTAACTATCAATCTTAATTCTCAGACCAGGCAGTGGATTCTCACTGGTCAGGGTATGTGGAATTTAGCTGTCTCCATGACCCCTGTTTTGAAAAGGGAGCAAGTACCTACAAATTCCTTTTGCCTACATAAAACAGGATCCTGAGTAATTATATAAGTAGCTTCTAATTCATGCAAATACATCACTCTGCAGATAACAAGGTGTAGAGCTGGAGGAACACAGCAGGCCAGGCAGCATCAGAGGAGCAGGAAAGCTGATGTTTTGGGTTGGGACGCTTCTTCTCACTCTGCAGGCCTGGCTGATGATCTTAAATTGGTTTATGGTGCACCTGTTAGCACAGTCTGTTATTTTTTTATAAATCATTTCAAATAGCAGAATCATTTCTAGTGGTGGATATATTCTTCTTGCAAGCATGAGCTGATTGCATATGAGTTGTATATTGCCCACACGGATTGGTCTATAGAACATGTTGATTGATATGGATAATCTGTCATTGGGACTGTGATTATTAAATATTTAGTTAATTAATTAGTCTCTAACTAAGTGATTATCCTCAACATCAATCCAGCATTTGACCATTTGTAGCACAAAGGATCCCTAAAAAAATTGCAATCAACGGAAATCATGTGGTATACACTCCACTGATTGGAGTCATACACAATGCAAATGAAGTTGGCTATGGTTGTTGGAATTAAATCACCTTAGTCCCAGTACAGTTCTGCAGGGGTTCATCAACATAGTAATCTTGGGCCAACCATTTTCAGCTGTTTCATCGAAGATCTTCCCTCCATCATAAAGTCAGAAGTAGGATGTTCACTGAAACGTAGCAAAAAAAAACCTGTGCCACAAAAGCACCAGACAATGGTCATCTCCAATGAGAAGGGATATAATTATCTCCTCTTCATATTCAAAGTCATTAACATTGCTGAACTCCCCCATCATCAACATCCTGGCCCAAAAATACTGAAATTACAAAAGCATGTCAGAGGATAGAAATTCTGTGACAAGAACTCACCTCCTGATTTGACAATACCCTGTACATCACTAACAATGCTCAAGTCAGGAGTATGATGAAATAAAGTCCACTTGCTTGGATTAGTGTATCTCCAAAACACAATTGCAAGTGGGGATGAGCAAAAAATATTGGCCTTTGACAGTACTCACATCCTATGAAGTAAAGATATTTAAGAGAATTTTGAAGGTGGAGAAACATGTACTAAAGTGGAGGGTTTTCGTAAGAGAACACTGAAAGTAATACCAAGGTGATTGAGCCTGCTAATTATAATGTAGGAATGGAAATGTGAAATAGGGTAGAATTAGAAGAACTGCACATACAGGCTAAAATATGGATCTGAAAGAATATCAAAAATCACATTTTCTTTAAACATTGATCCAATGAAGATATGTTACAGTTCCAACTGCTTCCATTTTAATTACAATAATGCTCCAAAGATACATGACTTTTCCAAGTAAAGCCTACATTGTTAATTTTTGCTTGTTGTAAAATGAAAGACAAATGTTGCTGCATTTTATTTCTGTTTGATATTGCTGGGAAAATGCTGCATTATGAAAAATGATCTGGATTAGATTTCCATTCAGAACTCTGCATGTGAGTACTATCTTCATTGTTTGTCCAATGCAAAAATCAAATGTGTTGTAAAGCACATTCTTCACTGTTAAACACCAGGACTGACTATGAAATCATGGTGTGATATTCTATTTGCAAACCGTTCCAGTTTGACCACAAAATGTTGGTGTCTTCTGGATTTTTAAATTCAAACTTAGCTATGATTCGAGCGAAATAATGAGAGTGGCAATGGCCAATTCTTGAAGTTCTAGGCTATAAGACTGACATACTTAAAGTGACAGTCTTAGAGTTGTCAACTGTGATTTACTGAAATCTCAATGTGAATAGAAAATGATTGCAGGCTTCAGTAATGTACCATAACCCATACATTAGGCCTAATTATTTCACAGGGGCCTGTAGAAAGAATCATCGTTGAAAGGATTTCAATCACAGTGAAGCTACCATTAAGCATAAGTTTAATTATTCAGTTATGAACTCATTATTTTTTATACAGAGAGGTACTAATTTAGAAATTGAATTTTAATATTCCTTCATTAAATAAAAACTGATGGAAGTTAAAAGAAATTTCAAAAATTATTTTTGTTTTTTTTGCACTTTGAATCATATTGAATCATTTTATGATGTGAAAAGGACTGTATAAATACAAATTTTCATTGCTTTAAACACACATGGATATTTTCTGCTGTTCCAATTCTGTTAATTTGTTTGGTAGCCATCTAATTATTTTTTCTTATTCTCTATTGGTAATTCTCCTATCCACTTACCCTCAGATGGTACAGGGTCTTCCAGATGGTAGAGTTTCCTGCTCTGCAACCCAAAGAATTAGCCCCACTGCCATTTAGCACTTAGGAATGACAGTTGTCTGGAGATGGAACTCCGAACAGCAGCCAGGTCTGGGAATGCAAGCAGTTCCCTGATTCAGGAAAGTATAGGGCTTTTCATGGTGGAGAGGGGATGTGAAGCCTGTGTCGTGGGGAATGGTGGTAATGGAGAGAGTGTTGATGAAGAAACAAGGGTGGGAGAGTGCACAGGGCCAAACCAGGGAGAGAGCAACAAACATCGAAAGGTGGCCCTTTCAAGCCGGTGACCTGCTGGACTTACTCCTACTGCTGAACTCCTTCCACCAGCCTCATTTTGAGAGAGGACAGGAAGCATCCCTTAAAAGGACCTCAATTGTAGCAGAAAGGATGGGCTGCTCTTGGTCTCATGTAACACCATATACTCCCCACCATCCCTGCCCACCCAGCCCTCTACCACAACTGACAAAGTGTAGACAATCCAGGGAGAGGAAGGCAGCAAGGAGGACAGCACAGAATGTTTATGGTCCCCTCTATCTCTTGCAAATGAGCCAACCGTAGATGTTAAAAGTTTGCTCATGGATCTGAAAGGTACTAGTGATTATTCAACATACAGCAAAGGAATTCTCCTGGTGTTGTGAAATCATTATTCCTTAGCCAACACCACCAGTAACAGACTATCTGGTTATTCATCCCATTACTGCAGCTGGGACTCAAATCTACACAAATTGATTGTCAGGTTTTCTTACTAGACAAAAGTGACAGTATTTCCAAAGTAATACTTATTTTGGGGTGCTTGGGGATGTGAAGGGTGCTATATAAATGCAACTTCTGATTGTCTATTTAGCATCTTTTAAGCCTACTTTCCAACACATTTAATCATTTTGAGGCTATCACCATTGTTCCAAGATTTAAGCAATTATAATGAACATTTTACAAGTGTGATATTGTAATATCTGACGGACAATTTTCCAATGCACTAAAAGTAGACCAAGATTCAAGGCTTATAATTGTATTTGTAGCTAAGTTTAGAAAATTATTTTCTGCAAGGTTTATTTAGGCAACACAAATACTCTGATTTCAGCCAGTCAAAAATTCATCATGTTAAAGTGTGGAGTATGGAAGCTGTTTAAACATTGTTTCTGTTCAAATGTAAACATATACAAAATTACATTCTTCCCAAAAATTTGGATCACGTAGAGATCGTTTTTTTAGTCCACAACATTGTTTCCAATTTGTGCCTGAAATATGTTAATAATGCACTTACACTAGTTTACATTCATTTCCTATGGATTCCCAATTTATTTTAATGGATAATTTAAATAAGGATACAATGGTGCAGTCAGAAAGTTTCTGTTCTTTTCTAAACTTTATTCTTATATGTTAGTGTTTTATTTGAATAATTTACAGTATTCACATAAACATGGACCACATGTATTTGAAAAGCATGTGAAATTTAATATGTATACACTCTCTCAAAGCCAGAAGCCATGAAATCAAAGTCATGCTGGTTATTGATTTTGCCAGGTTTCAAGTCAGTTATTTGGGCATGGGCAGTTTAGGTGAATTCCAGGTCCAATGGGGTCAAGGGTCACTTGGAACTGAATTATACATTAATGTTAATGACAAAGCGCATAACAAGTGCAGTACCTAGCTGAATTGTCCACGTGTTATTTTTAATTCCGTAATATTAAAAAAAATTGATCAGCATATTTGAGAAAATGTCCAGTTTTTGAGTTTTAGACACTTGGTTTGGAGAGATTGTACACGCAGTAGGAAACTGAAGTTAAATAACAGTAAAATCTAACTGAAAAATTTAATAACTTAATACTATTGCAAAGTTCACGGTTTGCCAAGTTTTAACCATTTTATCTTGTGGATTATTACAGAGCTTATCTGGATTGTAATGTCAGTTTAAATAATCAACAAATATTTAACTGAATTGAAAGATCAATAATGGAGTGAGCAATGAGAAGCACTGGGGATCAAGAATCAAGAATCCAAATATCTATAACTACAAGATTTCTGCATAAGTTTGCTAATGCCTGGACAAAATTTTCAAATCTCTTTGTTTACGTATAATGGATTGAAGACAGAATGTTTTTTTCATGATGCTCCGAATACTGCTATTACATTATTTTCAAATATATTTTTAATGTAATCCCAGTGATGTCTCATCATCTTTTGGTCAGCTAAAGTTTAAGTGATTTTATTATGGGGTTCAGAAGACTTCCATGCATAACCAACCTTTCAGTGTGTCCATAAAGGTCTTTGTATTTCAGGAATTCATTTTTTAAAAATCATACGCTGTGTTAAATATCTAAGAATGACATGTACACATCCCTTTAGCTTTGTTACTCAGTGAATGGAATTTGCAACATGAATGTTCATTCAATTTGAGAAAGAAAACAGTTAGCACGGATTCCTATCATTTTTGCTGTTAACACTGGTTGCAAGAAACTGAAATAACTTAATGTGGGTAACAGTATGTATCTACAAGGTGGACTTTAACTACTTCAAGTAATAGAACATTAGTGCCCTTTTCAGTGGCTATTAACACAAATGAGTAACTCAACTATTAGCTTCATAAGTATAGAATCAGGATCTTAAACTGAATAATGTTCCACAAGAATATATTAGACGTTATGAGTCTTCTTTGTGGAATTGACCCTGATGGATTTGTTCATTCTCCCTTTTTGAGAGGGAGCAGTAGTATTTGTCTAATACTTTCGCTGAGACTTTCATCATTGTCACTGTAAAGCAATTGAATTAACCTGACTGTTGAAGACAATCTGAAGTATAGACTATTATAACCAATTGGTCCCTTAGAAGTGGTGATGTTGCTGCTTACAATACCATTGAATCTTTTAAAAGAAGCACACCAGATGTTGTAGAAAAATGGCAGCTTAAGGAAAAGGCTGGTTTTCAGTCTACTCCACATCAGTTTTTATTATCTGAAAGAAATAAATGGCATTGTCTTCACAAATGGGGAGCGTAAAATGGTGCCAGGTAGGTGGAACTCAGGAAGGGAGACATCAGCCCCGCTGCGGATGAGATTAAAGGGACTGGAGTTGCTGCCTGGCAAATGACGTTTCCTGCAGCGTAAGTCTGAAAAGTTGGGAAGTTGAGTACACTTGGTCCCGGAGGGCTTGGACTGACTCGAGACAGGCTAGTAGATCCAGGCTGCATTGTGCTGTCTACCCCAGGGTTCTGTTTTTTCCATTTGGTGCGTCTGTTTTGAAACCAGATTTTTACCTGTGTTTCTGTAAGGCTGAGGGCCAAAGCAAGGTTGAGACGCTCGCAAACCGAAAGGTATCGAGTTGAGCGGAATTTATTCTCCAGGGCCACTAGTTGCTCATAAGTGAAGGCAGTTCTCGCTCGTCTTGGTTTGGCACAGCCTGGTTCAACTCGACGGCGCTTTTGTCTTGCTGCAGTATGTTCAGACCTGGTTTCCAATTCAGTAGAGGCAGTATGGTCTTTGTCAAATTCAGCTTGCGTAGGAATTTTATTCTCTTTAAATGAATGAAAGTTTCCACAAGTTTCCACAGACATTGTTGATGTATTAGCATTGGAATGTGTATCATGCTTCCAATCACTTCCATCTGCAAAGAAGCATTTAAAATTATATCATCCAGATATTTTTTTGGAACGCATGATGACATCGCAATCTTTAACCCCCTGTTTTCACTGCTGCATTAAATGTCCGTGCAAATACAATAAATGGTAATTGCTATTCTCAAGTTTAAACTTAACCTAAGAAAATAAACAGGAGCAGGGAAGGGCCATTTAGTCCTCGAGCCTGCTCTATCATTCAATAAGATTGTAACCATTTCAGATTGGTGTACAAGAATATCCAATCTCTCTCCGTCACATCATTCTGCAGTCTCTCTCCATTTAAATAATATTTTGCTTTTCCATTATTTCCTATCAAAATGACAAACCTTATATTTTCCACATCTACTACATTTGCTAAATGTTTGTCCATTCACAGAGCTCAGCTACATCAGACACTATAAGTCAAACTGGACTTGGTTGACATCAGTTCCGGTGGATGAGACCTTGGTGCAGATAACCATGACGGAAGGCTAATCTGCCATTGGTCATCATGCCACGATTTGATTTGTATTGTCGTGGCAAACTCAAAACCCTATCAGTTTTGGTTGTATTCCCTTTAATTCGCCAAATATAAAAGTTCATGTGAGAAATCGCCCAATTCCTTACCTGCATGTGATGTTCCCCTATTGGACAATGACATGATGCACGGATCTTGGGGACAGAGTAATGGTGACCTAGAGAGGGTGTTTAGTTGGAATGTAGCTAAGAACAAGCACATGGTGTGGCCAAGGGGTCAGTCATCGACTAGGGTGAGCAAATGGAGTTGGATGTGGAAGAGTCAGCCATACTGGCTACGTATTGTGATCAGCACAGTTTTGTGGCTGCTGTGCCATTACTTTTCTAGTGTGGAGCAACACTGGTTTGCTAATGCTTGTCCAGGTACACTGGCCTTTAAAGATGCCGTAAGTACAAGGACTGCTGAACTTATAGTGGATATCTGCTGAGTGGTGAGTTGTTCTGAGAACAATGTATGGCGAAATGGGGATAGAATTGGATGTGAGAGATGCCACAGAGGCTGGTAGGTAATTAATAGTAGGTAAGGTGGGGCAAGAAATTTTACAGGGCCTCATGGCAAGATTCCCTCCAAATATACATCCAGAAAAAGAAATGTCAGGATTTCAGCCATTTGATCAGAACTGAAAAGCTACAAAGATCTAAGGCAAAAAGGAGAGCAGCAGAAAGAGGGATTGACAATGACACAGTTGGATGATGGATGTACCAGAGTGTTTGTAGGTGAGCTAAAATGATTGTGTGAGTGTGGTACAAGACAGACAAGAGTCGCATACCATGACAATTGATTTCTTGGTAGGAATTACTACAAACAGCAGTTTATTCTTATATCCTATTTCCTTTTTTTTATTTAGTCATTCTTTCTTAAATTTTCCCAGTCCTCAGGCCTATCACTATTTCTGCAGTATTGTATGCCTTTCAATTTGATCTCATCCTTCCTGCATTAAGAAATGGTCCCTCTGTCTAATAGAGATTTTCTGTTAAATTGAATATCTCATTATTGAGATAGCTCCTTAAATGCCTAGCATTTCTCAACCGACTCCCTCCACATCATTACAATTATCTTAATTTAAGTTTAAGAGTCTAGATTCAGACCTATATTTCTCACCTTCAAATTGAATGCAATATTCATTATAGTATGGCCATTTCTCTTGAGGATACTTTCCATGAGATCATTTATTTATTCAATCTTATTACATTTCACTAAGTGTAAAACAACCTGTTCTTCACTTGGTTCCACTCATGTTTATAATAGTAGCTTTCTTACAGAGCCCCATCATTTCCTGAATTATACAGATCACACATAGTCTTAGAGAGCTTATAAATGGTTCCCTTTCTATTTTTGTTTCCACCCAATCATTCTACAGTGCTATATTTCAAGCCATATTTACTGTATGAATCTCATCCTTGGTTAACAGAGCTACTCCAACTCCTTTTTCTTTTCTGCCTATCTTTCTGAAATATCAAATAGCCTTGAATATTCAATTCCCAGCCTTTGTCAGCTTGCAAATACTGTCACACAAAGCTCTGTTTAGGTGTAACATGTCACATAAAGTCATCCCATAGGGAAGAAGATAAAATTGTGTTCAAAAACAGACATAGGAATAATTGTACAAATTAGGAGGTGTAAATGAGGGACGATATCATTATGCCAGAAAAAGACATAATGTGAGATGGAAGCAAACGTATAAGAGCTACAGAGACATATAAAGTCAAAGTTAGCCAGTGATTCAGTGGTTTACATAAACAATTATAAATGTGTGTACACAAACATGCCAAGATAATTGCAAAAGTGATGATCTAATAGGTAAATTATCAATCGTGAAATACTGTCGGAAATGTCTAACAGCATAAACGAAACTTCCATTCTTTTTAATCTCTTGCAGCAACGTGTCTTGTATAAAGTTTAGCTCTTTGCATACAAGCCCGGCAGCCAATTACCATAATAAATACTTTTTCAAGTTCATATCTGCTTTTTCGTGAGCAAGACATGAAATTAGTACTAATTTCACCCCTTGCTGTAAAATATCCTCTTTTAATCCACATTGTTGCACGCACAGAATCGAGAGTACTTAACGGCAACTAATGAAAGACTAAACCATCTAGAGAAAGCTTGATCTAGGTCCATCGTGGCGGACACTGGCTCTATTTCTCCCATCTAGTCAAATCCCTTACCTATATTTTCGCAGCGCTAACTTTATTTCTTTATTATACGCGGTTCGATTGGATCACTGACTTATAATCTTATATCAATAATCATTAATAGATGTGTAAATAGATGTCTGAACTTCTTGTTTTCCCCCATACCATCGCTCAATCATTGGTCGCTTAGTAACCTTTTGCTGTCTTTCTTACGGTCCTGAAAATGGTAATAACCTCGAGACCACGGCTCAGTGGAAATACTTGACCCATTTGTTCCGACTGTAGTGCAATACAGGAAGGATGAAATCAAATCAGATCCTACCAAATACTGAATTATACCAACTGGCAATAAATAATATGAAAATGTGGAGATATAAACCGGCTACCCCGTACTTCTTGTAAACACCCTAGCCTTCTCCATGAGTTCTTTGTAACATTTTAACGTTATTTCTCGCAAATCACTGACGATTAGAAATTACTGTAAAATTTAACAAGCCCGCTTCATACACAGTTTATAATTGGCCCAACTATGTGACTGTTCTGTAAGTGTAGTTCATTTTGGAGAAATGTGAGTTAGCATTTGTCCAGAAACTTCTCTTTTTGAACAGGCGGGTTGTGCGAGAGAGAGGGATGCTCAGGGCTCTATCCTTTCAAAGAAATCGGTTAGAAATCGTGCAAATCTGTGACTAGTGTTGCTCCGGTCATTTCACTATCTTGTGCTGTAACGTCTAGGATAGACTTCACTTGAGTGAAGGTTCACAGCACTTCTTGAACATCATCTTGGAATGCAAGAGCCCTCATTCCCTAAGGTACAAGTGTAAGATTTTAACAGCGACATATTTTATTTGTCATTTTAATAATTGCATTGGGTTTTATTCGACTCGTCACTTCTAATAGGTGATGGGTTTACGACTTTTTTTTGTTATTTGGGGAGGAATGTTAGAAGGATATGGGCACTGGCCGCTATCCTGATTGGGAGGAAACTGAGAAATACTTAAAGGCAGATGGAAACGTTATGACAGGATCCACGGGGAAAAAAGTGTCCAATCTACATCAGCCGCGATGTGCAATTAGAGTTCCAGATTTTAACAGATCGATAATGCCATCTATTAAAGGTAAGTTTTAATCGAAAAATATTTGGACCTTCGATCTGCTTCAGACTCGCGTTTTCACGGCTGTACCTGCAAGCTGTTGGAAGGAGATATGCACAAGTCAGTAATAGGATATCGATCATCTGAGCAGCGGCATCCTCCATGGGACGATTTAAACAATTACCCAGACTCTCACCCAGTGCCAATCACACCTAGCAAAGAGCTGTTATTGAACAACTGTAATTGTTTTTTCAAGATATGACATGTAGTGTATGTCATATTTATCATTTCTGCGGATTTCGCGCTAAAGCACATAAGCGGAACAGCAAATTAAAATGGACTAAATATGGAATGTCGTGGAAGTGACCACAGCAAAATAATCTTCAATGAAACAAAGTAGTTGTTTCCCATTTCAACACCTGTCTTCCAAAAGTGGATGTGATGGTGCCCACATCAAACAGCAGGTGCATTTGGCGTAGTCTTAACCAAGTCTCCCGATTTGGAAGAAAATCTGAACTGAACTTATGCTTGTTTATCTGGTTCAAACACTAAGCAATTTCAGTTACTACAAAAAAGTCGCGCTCTGGAAAGTAAACAAGAAGCAAGGAGTTAGACCTGCGTCAGTAAACAAATACTCCTCGTTACTTCTGCAACCAACTCCTTGTCAGTTTCACAATATTCATAACATCCGCTTGATTTGAAAAGACTGGGTTAGAAAACAAATAGTCTACTAATTCAAATAATAAAACTTTTCGTGAGGAAGTCAAGACAAAATATGCAATAAAAAGATCTGCGTAATTTCTTGATTCAAGACAAAAGCCTGCAGGAGGCCCAGCAAAAGACCAGTGTCACTTTGGTGCAGGCAATGCGCAGAGTTATTGATATTTTGTAATTAAAGTATCGTAACGCTGTATTAAGATGAGATCGTGTAATATTACTCACCGGAATCGGTGTCGATTTGGTCGCTGTTCTTTTCAGCACTTAGTTTTTCACCTGTCTCCATTAAACTCTGATCTCCACTGCAAGGGACGGGTAACTTACTGCTTTCATTTGGTCCGTTCTGATGCAGCTCAAACGGCTGCGACTTGCCTGTGAATTTTTGAGGGTCCAGTATATCTATGATGGAGAAGGAAATCTTATGAGTAGGGGCCATTTCTTCCCCAATGTCCGGGGACTCGAACATTGCCCTCTCGCCCTTTAGACACTGTCCAGCGGGCTACAGCTTGCTCCGCAGATCAGACAAGACAACGATTCTGTCACAAATTGAGCGGGAACGCGCACACGAATTCACTTTGGAGTTAAAATTGACTCTTAAGACAACGCCAGCCACTTCACACCTGACACCGAAATTATTAACGAATGCTTTAGATTGATGGTAATCAGTTTTGTCCGTTTTAAACAGAGATTGCGGGGTCTCTACATATAGAAGTAACCACTGCTCTAGTGCTGGTTTTGTGGGGCTCCTTTTCTAGTTTGGAGCTGGTCTGTTGAACGTCTGGCTACAGTGACAGAGACTAATAATAACAGTGCACGTGGTCTAAAGCCCAGCAGCAGATCAGCTATTAACACTACAGAGGCCTTTGGATATGCATGGGCAGGTTCGCCACGTGTGATTGCAATAATAGTTTAGCTGAACATCAAAGGGATCTCTACTGACATCACAGTATATAGAAAACAAAGGTTTCTTTTGTTTGAGAATACTTAATTTCAGTTAACTGTTGCAGTAAATGAAGAATCATTTAACAAAAAAATACTTCCTACAGCTGTTTTTTATGTTAATTCTGCCTACTCTATCAACACATTTGAATGGATATTCAGTATAGAATATTCTTTAACAAGTTAACCTTTTTATTTACAATGAGATAAGCAAGTTTAAATAACAGGTATAAAGTCATTAATGCATCGGCATTTGGCCATTTTAATTTGCAATCTCAATTCTGAATCAAATTTAGAAAATGTATACCAAATAATTGGAATCAATTATTCTCCTAACTCTAGCCCTGCTGTTAATTATTTCCCAATCTCAGATTCCATTTGATCTTGCCCTGTATGATGTAAAGATGTGCTAAGGACAGAGGTACAGTATTTGCAATTCTTTACCTATCTCTTTTTCAGAGAGTTCATGTTTAAACATCGAACAATACTTTTGTGAAAAGTTAGTTTCCAGCGCCTTACACAGCTGAGGAATTCCAGCTGCTTTGTAGAGGCTACCCCTCAGGTAAAATCGGAATATTTACACAGTGCTTCAACACTTTAAAATTGTGAGGGTGTAAATATGATATAGCCTCTAGTATAAAAGGCACCAAACTAAGTCTATTTTCCAGTAAACGGTTCTTTTATCTGCTGGAAAAACCTCAAAAGCAAAACATAACGTCGTTCACTTTCACTAGGGGAGAGCATTTTCAAAATAGCCAAGAGAACCATACTTTAATTTACTTTAATTCGACCACTTTTTTTCCTCCATTGTTATTGAAATGACACGAATTTACTTTGGATTAACCTGTTGTGGATAGCGTTTTCAACGTCGAAGGAAATGCTCTAAAACCCATTCGATTCAGTCCATCTGGGACTTCTTGCAAATCAGCAGAACAATCCCTGTTGCACTTTAACCGTCCATCCGGCACTGCAATTATACCCCATTGTCCGCTCTAATTACATGGATCTTTTAAAAAACATTATGTAGATCAATTCATTTGCATCTGTTAATACTTTTAGAGGCGTTCCCAGACTGTGGAAATGCAGAGAGCGGGAGGATACATCTCATGTCAATGTTATAGTCATCCTGCACCCAGCTGGCAATGCAAATAAAGCTTGAACACATCGTCACACCCACTTTGGACTAACTTCTCATAAGCCTGTTTTTTTTTCAATTTAACTAGCACACTGACTTTAAAAAAAAGTACTCAAGTTTTTTTTCCCCTTTCCCTGGTATTTAATATGCTGCAAAAAGCTGAATGCATATCACACATATCAAAGTGACCATTCCTAGCCTTTACTGTCAGCGATCTTTGGGCTCCAACGTGTTTTAAAAATCTTGTGGTTAAATCTGCGATGAAAGACACAGCAGTACTAAACTTCGTCACCTTCTGAAGACAGTAACGAGGCTCCGGCAGATATTTTTAAGATGTTAATTATCTGATATTTATTTGTTTAAATATTGCAGTGACATTTAAACATTTATTATCGTGGGATTTGAAAAAGAATCGAGGCTTTGGTATTTCTTGCATCTGAGTCCAAATTATTTGTAATACAAAAAGAGAAATTGCTGGAGAAACTCAGCAGGTCAGGCAGTATCTTCTTGGACTATTTCTGTTTTTGTTTCAGATTCCCGGCATCCGCAGTTCTCTATTTTAGTCCTAGTACACGCACAGGGATGTCTTCCAGACCTGGGATCTTTTGCTTGATGCAGCAACAGGAATGTAACTTCAATAAGTGAAACTCATACCAAGCCATATTCAAAGCGTTAAGGCATTAATGAAATATAATTTCATGGTAGTCAAATTACGTAATTTTCTGATTCAAAAATACTGTACAAGTATGTTGCGGCTGAGTGATTTTGCTTTATTCCATCTGCTACTGTTACCAGTTTCCTAGCAGCTTCTGCAACGCACTTATCTTAGAAATGTCGTCAACAGCAAAAGGCTCGCCTGACTTCCTTCCTTTGTATATTGTTTCTATGTCTTGCGCTTTGAAGTCAATGTATACAATGGCCTGAGATATCCCACTATTATGGATGGCTGTCATATTGGGTAAATGTTACAATTGAAAACAGTGTTGTCAATTTTGTACAAAAACAGAAATTGCTGGAAAAGCTCAGCAGGTCTGGCAGCATCTGTGAAGGAAAAAACGGAGTTAACGTTTCGGGTCCGGTGACCCTTCCTCAGAACTCAATTGTCAATTTTGTAGATGTATTTCAGATTTTATATATATTAACAATTTTAAAAATTCTTGCATGGGATGTGGGCGTCATTGGCAATGCTAACATTTGTTGCCCGAATTGCCTTTGGGTTAAGTGACTTGCTAGAGCTGTTTCAGTCAAAGAGTCGACCACATTTCTGAGGATCTGGAGTAACATGTAGGTCAGACCAGGTAAGGATGGCAGATTTCCTTACCTCAAGTGAACCAGTTTTTCTTTTTAACCACAGTCATTATTTGACTAACATTTCATTCTAGGTTTACTGAATTCAAATCTCACAATCTAGTATGATTCGAACCCTTGTCCTCCAGAATATTGGCTTGGACAGTATCCAGTGACATTAGCAATTTGCTACAACCTCCTCCCTCACCTATAAATGCATTTACGGTACCATTTTACTGGCGCCATTCTGTTCACCCTCCTGTAAATGTTTACGTCCGATCAAACTTTAACAAACATCTACCATCACAAGCTGGCTAAAGGAAAAATGCACCGTGAATAAATCCCACGCCGCATGTAAATTTTTGTTGTACCTCGAATGCAGAACTCTAGCAAAAAAAACTTCCGTATTTTGCATACTAATCAGAAGGATGACAAGTACTGTGTCTTTTCCGGTGAATTAGAATGGATTCATTGAAGACTGGACACTAAAAATCATTGGAACCGACTTCTCATAGGAACTGTATGCTTTCCTCATGAGGCCATCATTCAGTCCCGCCCAACACCAACTCCAAATGTTCATAATTTATTTACTATTATAGAATAACTCATGCTTTTTAGTTACTGACCAGAATACTTTTAGTTTGCTGCAACGATCCTATTAAAGTCCTCAAATGGTTAATTTTTAAAGTTATTTTCTACAGAGTTGTTGTGAAATGTCCTGCCTTTTGGCAGTTTTAAGTGGCTCTGCCAGGGCAACGGATTAGAATTCAATGTGAGTGCTGTCTTTAAATTGCTTTGACGCCAGGTGGGATTCAGACCTGACCTGTACTGATGGCAGCTGATGGCTTGAAACAAGCTGGAATCAATATTCACAGCGGGTGTCCTCTGCTGATAAGACTGTCCAAGACAATGTTCACTATCAAAGTAGACAGCTGAGATATTACACTATTAGTGATGTTGTTTTAAATAACTTGCTCAATCTCTTATTCTAGTTAATGAATTTTACAGTATAGATACTATCAGCAAGATAGAATCATTGCAAACCGGCAATATCCAAAACACTGTTGGAAATTATATTCAGATTTCCAAAGAAATGGTTGAGAGAGAAAATACAAAGCAGGAAAGCGGTAATACACAAAAATAGGTCATACCCTTTATCGGCTGGAGAGGTTGCCCATCGAAGAGAAAAATCGTTAGTTACTATATAGATAGGTAAGAAACGTTATCTAGGTAATTACCATCAAGGGTGATTAATTACTTATTCATTGATAAATTAATTAAATCTTGTCCTCCTATCTGGACAGACTTTGCGTAATATATAGCTTACCTTCTATTTTCTTTATCATAACTTATGGTACATATTTTACATGTTTCCTTATAATACAAATATTACGCCCTCGCTCAATGCTGCGAGAATTGGCAGTGCCGATACTTGTGTTCTCCCTGTTTTGCCAGAGGAATATAATAAATTACTGCATTGTTATTTCATGTATTTGAAAATTATAAGAAGAATTTGTCGTTCATTGTTTAATGTTTTGAAGCATATTCATACACAATCACTTTAAGGCATCCTTTGGTCACAATGTAACCTCTAAAGGACACGGAAGACACATTTGACACTGACTCGAACATTTATGTCATAAACTGGTATGACTTACTCTTGGATTAATTTTAATACACCAGCAGTATGTACTGAATTGAATAGGTGAATAATAAAATGCCATTCAGATTTCCATACTATATTCTGTAATCGCATTCGTAAAATATTTCAGTAAGTATTATCGCTATTTGCATGCATTGCACATTCCTGTGTTGTACGATACAGCCCGGTGCTGTGGAAATATAGCGCGGATTGGACACTGAGCAGAGTTAAGGTTGTACGCCAATTATTGCCTGAGACTTTGGGAGGTAGCACTATCGCGCAGGCTATTGGCATGTGTAGTCCACTTCCTCTTGAGCTAAACAACTCGCAGTATCTAACAGACTGCATCTCCCGAAATGCAGCGTGTTGCAATTTCCATGATGGCCGAATGGTGTAAACCCGCTGGAAGGGTGAGAGGAGTGCTGTTAGATATTAGTGGGGTTCTGTATGACAGTGGGGAAGGAGGAGGGGTTCCCATTGTCGGCTCAACAGAAGCGGTCAGAAGGTGAGTGTCAAACCTGCATGGGAAGCCCTTTCGCTCAGCGTGGGAGAAGCTCACCCTCAGTTCTCTGTGGAGTGGCACAGCGTCGGTTCCTTGTCAGACAAACAACAAACACTAGCCTTTTTGAGGATATTGTATATGCCGCTGACCCTCTTAGAATATGCAATGGAGTGTGGTGGCCAGCCTCCACCTCTTTAGTGGCTGCTAATGAACCATAAAAACTGGGCCGAACAATCAAGTGGTACAAAAACAGAAAGCGCTGGAGAAATAGACTTGCTGAGTTTCTCCAGCGCTTTCTGTTAGTTTGTTTCAGATCTCCAACAACCGCTGTTCTTTGTTTTAATCAAATAGTTTAGTCTGTTTCTGGCCGAGACACCCAACATATTCACTCGACTCCTCCACTTTTTTTGAAAGCCACCTATTATTTAAATTTCCAGAGTTTTCCATAAAAGTTCCCACTCTTTGTGATATCAGCTGAAAGTGCTTGGGTAAAACCTGCTGAACACAACATGGCAAGAGCTCAAATTCCCTTACATTTCGTACTGCACACCTTCACAACTTTATTGTAGTTGAAACTAAAATAACAACCCCAAGTGTTTTTTTTTTCCCTAAATAGACTCCTTTTTCGATTTTTAAAAATTGACACTTTGCTTGAATTCAAACATGATGACTGACATTCATTGAGTTTTGTATTGGGAAATTAGAAAGGGCTCCCATGACTTTATAAAACAGTTCTGTGACCTAAATGGTGATAGGGAGGGAAACGTCAGCCAAGGATCCAATTCCAGTTTGTTATCCAGTTGGTACTATTAGATGTGGGCTGGGTTTAGAACAATATCAGGCTAGCTGTAATGACCTCTGTCCTGTCCACTGTCACCCAGAAGAATATAGAATCATACAGCATGGAAACGGACCCTTTGGTCCAACCAGTCTGTGCTGAATTAAATTAGTCCCACCTGCCTGCTCCTGGCCATATCCCTCCAAATCTTTCCTATTTATATATCTATCTAAATGTCTTTTGAATGTTGTAATTGTACCCACATCCACGACTTCCTTAGGAAGTCCATTCTACATGTGAACCACCCTCTGGAGCCTCATCCAACAAGTTTACAGAAAGGCAGGCATTACCAGCCTGCACCTCCAGACTAATCAACCTCTTCTGGAGTAGGTGGAACTTGAACCGTGTACTTTCTGGCCCAGAGATAGGGACACTACCACTGCACCACAAGAGCCATCCTTCCTATCCTCATCCTTTATTTAGGAACAGTAGTTTTTATAATTTTCTAAACAACCTGTTGAGAGGTGTTATCATGCACCTCGAGCAGGTAGGACTTGAATCAGGGTCTCCTGATTCAGAGGTAGGGACAGTACTGCTGGTCCAGAAGAGCATTCCCTCCTACCCTTGTCCTACATTTAGGAACATAAGTGAATCACCACTTTATGCCCACAGCCTGAACAGAATTGGACATAGTATTAAAGTGGCTAATAAAATTCCAGAGTGATTTGGTGATGGGGAAAAGTAACAGTTGTATGTAACAGCATTTCTAGATATGAAAAAAGACAAAGCATGAACATTCTCCCCCCCCACCTCATCTTTTGATGGTTTATATCATCTTTAACAGTCTGCATGTAAATTGTTCACTTGGAAACTCAGTGATTTGTTGGTGGTTAATAGATGGAAAAAAAGTATCACGGATATGGTGATGGGGAAGAAAAAAATCATTTATGTGTAACGGTACTTTTTCTGGATTTTAAAAAAATATATAGCTTTAGTAAACTCCTGGGTGAGCTATCATTCTGGTTTCGTTCCTTTGCACATTGTTCAGAGCCTCAGTCCCTTCACATAATGAAGGTACTGAAACTAAACACCTTAAAGAGTGAACATATTGATGATTTCAGGTGTAATTTGACTAGTTGGTGCTCCAGCTCTTTAAACACCCTCAACAGAATATTATATCTTGTTCTAACTATGATATTGGTTTTTACATGGACCAAGACAACTGGATCCTCTCTGGCCCACTCCAAGTTCATTCCAGGCACAGGAGATATCTTTAATCCTGGCACCAAGTAGGCAATACAACTTGTGTAGCTCTCTGTCATGGTTGCAGAGAGTTGTATGTATCTCCTTAGCTATACTGTCTTCGAACACTACCACATTCCTTTTTTACTTCTCAAAGATTTAAGAAGGACATGAGAGACAACTTCTTCATGCAGAGAATGGTGTGTATATGGAATGGGCTGCTAGAGAAAGTGGTTGAAACAGGTACGATAGCAACATTTAAAAAATTATTCAGATAGGTACATTGGTGGGAAGGGACGTGGAACAAATGTGGGCAATAGGAACTAGCTGATTGGGCACCATGGTCAGCATGGACCAACTTGGGCTGAAGGGCCCGTTTCCATACTGTGTTACTCTATGACTTTATTCTCCTTATTTGAATAGCTTGTACCTTGGTCAGTTTGCTCGTCCACCTTGTAAAGTTTGCCATTATCGGTACTAGCCTCAGGAGCCTTACAGCTATTGGTTAAGGGCAAAGGCCAAGGCCTCTTCAACACTGTACATGGAATCCCCTTATTTGCCTGACTTTTAATCACACTCTCCTATTCTTTACCATTAATCAGACTTGGACTATCTACTAATACACGAGGTGACTGCCTTCTGAAACAAAATGTTTAAGCAACTGTGTCTTTCCACTCTGCTGTGAAATGTTTGCACCTCTGACTTAAGCTTAATGAGTGTCTGTGGAAATACCTTGGAAAACAGACACTGCTGATGTGATGGTGTAGGTTCACTGTGCTATCAACAGACCCTTACATACTGCAGTTGCAGCAAAGCTCTGCCAATTTGATGTAACCTTGATTTAATGAATTAATTAGTCTATATAGTTAATCAACTCTGCTTATAATTATTAGTCTTTAACCAATATTTGATAATAATTATATTGGCCTATAACTTAATGCTGTTTTTACTCCAATGCAAGTTGATGTAAGTACCAGATCAACAAAAAGAAGCTCTTTTTCTCTTTGCAGTAAACTTTTGCATTCTGGCTATATTCTGTGACTGTTCTGTGCTTTAATAATTAGCATAAAAATGTTATTGAAGTGGTTTATTCAACAACAAGAATTTCAGAAGAGAAAGGATCATCTCTGAAGTTGCTTCAGGGTCCAGTAAGGAGCTTAGCATAATGTTGAAAGTTTACAGTGAGCATTGAAACAGCTGCTCAGTTCCTATCTATAAATGCCACAGGTAGTTTTGAAAAAAAAACTTTTGTTATTTCCTACACCTATTATGTTTGTTGAATGTCAATATTTTCTAACATTGTAGTTAAAAATTACAACAACTATTCTAAATATTCAGTTAACAAGTGCATGTCTTTGATCTGCAGGGGCTATTGTGGCAAATGGTAATGTCACTGTCTCTTTGTACTAACATGTCTGGACTGGTTGATGAGAAGTAACTGTGGTATTTTGAAGGAGAGTAGAGGAGTTTTCCTGATGTCCAGATCAAATGAAATGCTTCATCAATTTAAACAAAAAAGTACATTTATGGATCTTAGTGTTGTGCAGGCGTACTGATGGTGTTTTATAGATTTCAGCAGTGACTACATTTTATTGGCTGCACAGTGTTTTAGTCACCCTGGGAGCATGAAATACATTATGGAAATGCAAAAATATGTTAAAATCATACTTTTTGTATATGTGTCAAGAGTAGGAAAACCTTGACTTTTGTATAGTTGCAATATTCCAATAGTTTGTATGTTACAGTGGGAGGCTTGACCTGATTGCAGGTTTAATCACAGCCTTCTGCTTTAATTAGCTTTAATCATCCCTTTCTTTTCCTACCTCCTCTTCCCACCCCCACCCCCACCAACTCCCTGACCCCTGCCTGATTCCAGCACAAAGGATTATGGAATTTTCATTATTGTCATTACTAATTGAAATGATTTTCATGTGAATTATGAATGTACAGCATTAGAAATTATGTTATTTTTGATGTGATGAGGTTTTTTTCAGCATGGGTCGTTTGCCACCTGTTCCATTGGTCAATTACCTTATTGGACTATAATTAATATTGTATGGTAAAAATTAAAGAAATGTGCCTTTAGAGTGTTTCATTAAGCTTAATCTTGTCAATTTGCTCATTTTTGGCTTGGGGTAGAATTACTTCCACAATCCTCAAAAGGCTGGTTGTCAGTAACAGGAAATTGTTAAGTTGCCAGAATTGTAATTCTACTGGAGGATGTGATTTGTGCTTTCTTTTCATATTTTGGATTTACAAGATACCTTGAGTCTGTTGTGGTTTAATTTATCCAAACATTGCACTAATTTATTAAATCCCAGGTCAAAAATAGGTACAACACCATGATATTCTTTAGTCCTATGAATATTTAACCTGCTGTTAGCGGTTGTCCTTTCATATTTAAACCAAAATAATAAAAACGAGCACAGATAATGCAGAATAAATTGAGTTTTTTTTCACTTCAGAAACACTTCCTTGACTTTTCTATGTCTCTTCCTGGCTTTAACTGGTTAGGATCTGACTGGATTAAAAGCTGGTCAACAACTGTGGAGCATGTGATATAACGAGATTGAATGTTCAGAAAAAGATTACCAAGTACACTGGAAATATGAAGACAGAATCCAGTCTGTCAACTGCAAAAGGAAAATCAGTTAGGGTACCTGAATCTGACTAGTGTACTGTTTTATTCATTCACAGGGTGTGGGCTTCATTGACGGCCAGCATTTATTGCGCATCCCTAAATGCCCTTGAGAAGGTGGTGATGTGCTGCCTTTTTGAACTGTTGCAGTCCGTTTGGTGAAGGTATACCCACGATGCTGGTAGGGAAGTAAAGGATTTCCAGGGTTTTGATGCAGCAACAGCAAAGAAATGGAAATATATTTCTAAGTCAAGATGGCAAGTGGCTTGTGAGGAACTTGCAATTGGTGCTGTTCTCATATATCTGCTGCCCTGATCTTTCTAGATGGCAGTGTTCATGTGTTTA